CTACTCAACCTTGTCTTAATCTCTTAGCTTTACTTTCACTGACTAGAATCTATACTTATTGAATACTGAATGCAGCTAAGTGAGTCCAACAAAAGTCTCCAGAGGTCTTATGGAATCTGAATTCAACAAATTGCACAGAAATAATATGTAAGCCCTATCTATTGATCAGACGTTTAGGGCAACCATGTAGAGAAAGCCGTTCGCTCATGCTCACATAAGCGCACTGTCCGAGGCAGTGAAATTAAAAGAATCCCCAAATGAAAACCGTTGCGTCCCACATAGACTAAGCTGTCATTGAGGATGCGCCAGTAAAAGCGGCACTAACGTTTATCGCGGAATCCAAATTACATTCTTTCTAAGGCTGTCCAAAGCTGTCTCTGGCCTTATTTTCACGTTGCTGTTGTACCAAAGCAGTGCTTCTACTTACGCCTACAGTTTGATGTAGCAAGTGATTTGAACATGGACACAGATGTGCTTGTGTTATCAGTAGAAGTTCCATTTGGGACAAACGTTACAAAGTCCTCTTTGTATGTATTTTGACCGGTAGGATACGAATACAGTGATACTGAACACCGTACATTTAACACTAAATGACATATTATTGGTGATGATGATGACAAATATATAAAACTGTGCGCTGTCCCTTCCCCCCCCCCCTCTCTCTCTCTCTCTCTCTCTTTCTCTCGCCCTCTCTCTTTCTCTTTCTCTCTCTCATAATTTGTCCAACGTGATCTAGTTATAGACTAAAGGGTTCTGGGCGAAATATGAGGTAAAAATGTTTCTCACGCCTTTAGCATTATTAGTGGTTCTACAAGCAAGCCCCCATGCCACGTCCGATCACGGGACTGACACATTAGTAAGATTTTGGACAACGCTTTTCCTGTCTATGAAGAATGCATACACTTGATCACAAACGGCCTGGTGTAACAGTGTTCTCTATGTGGGGTCCAGCAGGCACTTTCCAAAGCTTAAGAGGCTGACAACACGGCTGTTAAAAGTACGGCCTCGAGAGGCTTTCTCTATGTGGTAGCCCTTACGGAGGTTCCTAGATCTGTTTTCCAGAAATATCTTATAATTTATAATTTATACACTGATATACTATACCATTGTTCAAAGCACAGAGACAAAAACTAAACTAAATGAGAAAGATGCAGTAATGAATTTAGGCTAAGTTTACTGTATGCTGAATGGGGCCAAGTGAGTCGAATGAACGAACTCTCAACACTATGGGATGATCTATATCGTCAGTGTCCTACTCTAACCATGTATATATGCATGAATACTGATTTTCTGAAAAATGGAAAAGTTCTTATAATATATAGAAGTTATATTATAGACAGATCTCGTCTAACATCAGGTAAAACCTATGAATTCCTCATAGATATTATTTATAGATCTATTACAGTAGAGTCCGCTCATAACGAGTCCTGAAATAACGAGAAGTCTGTTCTGAAGACACTATTCTAAACCCCCGTTTTTTTCCATCTTTATCTTTGATGTAAATAAAATAGTGCTATAATAGGGCAATCAGACAAATACGCTAGTCGGTTGAAGCGGAATGTTGCTGCTACTGTGCACAGCGCATTGGCCAGTTATAAAACCTCGCCAGTTGAGAAACTTGTTGGTGATCTAGGGAAACCAAGGACCTTACAACTCCTTGAGGGAAACAGAGAATGGGAGAGCCCACGTATGCCAACGATGAAGGCCGGAACGAATGAGTGGGGAGGGTGTGACATGGCAGACAAGCAGAACGCGTCACTTGATAGACCAGCTTAGCCTAGTCTAGATTATTTAGGCTTACTACTACCATGTCTCTCACTTCTCCTAATCAGGGATGGAGAGGTCACAGTACTTTGATGGATAGAGCGAATGTGTGACGTGCGCAAGCAGACGGAACGCACCACAGGGTGTAGTGGGGTGGGGGACAAGACGCACAGTGGGCGAGTTAACACAGAGACCTTTCTTTCTGATCGCCAACGCCAAGCTGTCAACATTGCTAGCGCTAGAGAAAGAAACCTGATTCGATTTTTGATCAAGACCTAGAGGAATAAACAGAACACCAGACTCATAGATTAGCCCTACTCTATTATTTCCCTTTAATTTATTACTGGATCCCTTATAATGAGAATCCGGCTATAAGGGATATATCGCATCAGTCCCTTCCTTCTCGTTATAACAGGATTCCACTGTATTATAGATCTCTAGTCTAATATTAGGTAAAACCTATGAATGCCTTCTAGTCGTGTTGCTATCAACAACAAAAATCACACTTTTATTTAGCAAGACTTGTTTTCATTCTAATGGCGAAGGAAACTTTTTTTTTCATTTCAATGAGACAAGATATGTCTTATCCAAGTTCTAAAATGATATACCAGTCTTTTTAGGAATGCTGACGTTGCCACCACACTTTTGTTGTTTGTTTGTTTCTTTTGACCCTGTTTGGTTTTTAGTATGAAATAAATATTCTACTTGTGATGCGATGCTATGGCTATTTATTAGATTAAAGCTGTGATTATCATTGCTGGAGGAAAATTCCCTTTGATGATCATGTCTCTTCGTCAAATAAATTGTCATAGTATTTATTATGTTTCTTCATGAGATTTATGCTTGAATTGAGGTTGTGTCCTTCAATTCATTTTTCTGCTGTGAGAAGATAATACGAAGTCCATTGCAGAATGCATGTTGGAAATACCTATATATATACAAAAATTGTTTCATGATTATTGAAAATGACTGTGTGTGCTGCATCTGTTGCTTGTCGGTAAAATACCGTACTGATGAAATAAACTGATCTGAAGATTAACATTGTTTTGTTAATTCTTGTGTGTTAAATGCTTCTGGGATATTGCTTGTGTAGCTCGTGCAGGCTTATTGGTAGTTTTAGTTGAAGGAGTCTTACTCTTACTGATATAACAAGCTAAAGTCACAGAAAGCTATAATTAATAGTGTATTGTTTTGTGTGTGCTGTTAAATTCTAAACAGAAAAATAGTTTATGCTTGTATTTTTGTCTTCAAACCTTGTCTACCATGGTCTCATACCTTCAGTTTATTGAGGGCATCACTTACGACAAAATCTCTATACAGCGATTGTGCTGTCACATACTAGGCATGATTTATGCCTCTTATTTTAGTCATTGCAAATGGGACCTCACAGACTGAACTGGGATGCACCACTAGCTCAGTTGATATCATGCTGGACTACGGAGCAGATGGCCCTGGTTCGAATCGCCAATGGGGAATTTTGAACTTCAGTTGTTTTGGGGAGTTCTTAAGGCTCTTTGCCCATTTAGCTCGGTCCTATAGGAAGATAGACGTTTAGGAGGTTCCGCCTCATAACTTAACAGTGTAGAAAGGAACAGTAAAATCCATCCTTCTCTCGGCGGGAGTGATCCATCATGTACATGTATTTTGATACTTTAGTATTGTCATTATGGCCACACTAGACTGAAGACAGAACGTACTCAGTGTTTTCGCCTGTTTGTAATGACATGGTTTATACTTCGGCTTTCAGTGGAAATAAAATAAGAAATGTGATGTAATTTGGTGTCTTTCTTTTTCCAAGGAAATTTGTTAGATGACTCATTCAATGGCTGTTGTTGGCACATTATATCCGGATATGTGAACATTGGGCCAGCGAGCACGGCATGTCGCATTTGAAAGGGACTCGCACTCACACTCACAGCGGCCATGACAAATCCGCCCCCCACCTCTCTCTCTCTCTCTCTCTCTCTCTCTCTCTCTCTCTCTCTCTCTCTCTCTCTCTCTCTCTCTCTCCACCTCTCTCTCTCTCCCCTCTCCCCCCCTCTCTCTCTCTCTCTCTCTCTCTCTCTCTCTCTCTCTCTCTCTCTCTCTCCAACAGGAACATGCACGGCTATAATGTCGTCCTGGATACAATGAATAATACACGAGCAGTTTGAGCCTAGGTTGTGAAGACCTAGTTTGTTATCAGTTGTTATAACATGATAAATTCGTTTACCGTAAAACCGTCCAAATTTTTTGTGAAAACCAGAAACGGTCTTGTTCAGGACTTTTAAAATAGTGTAGTCTCGTAAGATTTTTTGGTTTTTGTTTAGTTTTTTTAAATTTGGGCACCCCCCCCCCCCCCCCCCCCCGCCGCTCCCCTTTTTTTACTTCTCAAAGTGAATTTTTTTCCACATTTTGTGAGAATCTTATCTTCTATCTTAAGAGCACATTTCCCGCTCGGAGCCGTTAAATTGACCTTTAAGTTAATAAAAATTAAAGGATGCACACAAATTACAATTCAGGTTTTACCTTGGAAAGGAATTTTAAATCACTTAGGTATTGAAATTGGCAGGGCAGTTATCCAATGCAAGGTCAAGGAAACACGGAGATCCTATAAGATCTTTTCCTGGAATGATAATAATAATAATGATAATAATAATAATAATAATAATAATAATAATAATAATAATAATAATAATAATAATAATAATAATAGCCTACTAATAATAATAACTTAAGTTATTAACAAATATCTCATCAGTTCCATCAACTTTTTTTTTTTGGGAGGGGGGGGGGGGGTAAAATGCATGATTGAGTTTTAATTATTTTTTAATCGCAAGGGTCTGAGCTTTGTTTTGTGGTTCTTGCAGTAGTTGTTTTAATTCTTGGATTCTATTGGTGCCAAGTGTGCCAGAGGCCTGAGACAAAGAGAGAAGAAAAAAAAGGATGCATAGTACATGTATTTCGAATGAGGTCGATCACTGACACCTCAGCGTTTCTAGCGTGTGCTGTGCCGATTTTTAAACTGTTTTATATTCCTTTGGTTGCATCTTTTTAAAAATTATGATTATGTTTTCTCGCGGGGTGATTTCTCTTTGGAGATATAAAATCAGGATAGTGGCCCCAAAGGCCGTCTTCAAGTCATTTCAGCGAAAGTAAGCGAACATTGTGAGGTCTTTACCGTATCACCCACAAAAGCTGTCCAGCTGAATGCAAGTATTTGCCTATTTGGATACCTTGAATAAGGAATTGTTTAGCTATTGCATTTTGTTTTGTCGCTTCAAACGATGTTTGTTAGATTTCGTAGAGTTAATTTTACAGCTGATATTGTTTTGATTATAAGAGCCTTAATTGAGTTTTATTTAACTGAAAGCATAATTTTTCTATATATCTCATAAGTGTTAATATAGTCAATCGCAACAGTGTGGACGGCCCTGGCATTCCTTAACCTCGCGATTCCAACCTTTGCCCCATATAGATCTTGCGGCGAGAATCCCTGGAAAGACCGTCTTTATTCAAGAAGCATGGCTGGGAACAATAACGATGGTGTGGATGGTGCTACCATTCTTGTTCGAGCTTTAAAACAACAGGTAACAAAATAAGTCTTTGTTGGGATTCTAAGTTTCTATTGTCGCCTGCGATCTGGATCCGAAGGAATTTCTGCTCGTTTTGTTTGTATCGGGTATTCACGAACTCTAACCTTTGACCTTGTTACTTGTTTGCTGGCTCGGGGTGGAACTGGAACATGTTACCCTTTGTAGCTAGATCTAGACTAGTTGGTAACGGAGGGCTAGAGAAACTTTCCCTACATTTGGAATAAATTTGACAATGTTTGAGGCAGAGAGCAAGTGGTCAGATAGCTGAAAGTTGAAAAATACTTTCCCTTGCCTTAGACCTGGCGTCACAGACTGTGTGTGTGTGTGTGTGGGGGGG